GGCAGCAAAAACGCATATTGCAACGACCCTGTCAGTGTGTGTGTATGTTTGTGTGTATGTGTGTGTGTGTGTGCGTGTGTGTGTGTGTTCGTCCGTCTGGGTATTTCAACTCGCCAACCACGCAAACTTTGAAGCTGAAATTTTGCAGTGTGTTCCCCAGCCAGGTAGCATCCCAGGACCGCGGTTTCAACCTTCACGCACGTCTGGGCCACGCGTACGAGCCCGTAAAAGTTTTGGCGCGAAAACCGCTAACTCGGAACGAGAAAAGCTAGAAATCTGAAACCTTGGGAGAATGTTCCCTACCCATATATGACAAGAAGATTTCAAATTCAGCTGCCCAAGAGTGCCCGGGGCTTACTTACGGGCACGTGAAAATTATGGGAAAATTCATAACTCGAAAATGAGGAAGGCTAGAAAGTTGAAACTTTGGGGTAATGTTCCGTACTCATGCACGGCCAAAAGCTTTCAAACTCAGTTCCTTAGGACCGCCAGGGGATCACGTGCGGGCACATGAAAATTTTGGCGCAAAAGTCACTAACCCGAGAATGGGAAAAGCTTGAAAGCTGAAGCTTTAAGGGAACGCTCCCTACTCATGTACGAGCAAAATCAGGTGTTTAGAGGCGCCCGAGCCCATGTGCGAGTGCGTGGAAATTTTGGCGCGAAAACTGCTAACCCGGGAACGGGGGAAGCTAGAAAGTTGAAACTTTCGGGGAATGTTCCCTACTTATGTCTGAGCAAAATCAGCTGTTAAGAAGAGCCCATGTCCACATATGAGCGTGTGATGTAAAGCGGGCAAAAGATGGCGCGCATGAGAAGCAAGGAGCAATCCAGAAACGTGCAGCAGTTTGACCCGTTACCTGTCCCGCCTTTTGTGAAGAGTATTTAAGCTTGTGAACTTGTAAGATTCAGTGTATGTTCAGTATCGTCATCGACTGCGTCTTCTGTGTATCGTCGTGCATCCCCCCAGTGTTCAACGTCACCTTCTCGTGTCTTCAGTATTCCGATTCGCTGGCATTCAGTATGCCCTTTTGCTTTCGGAGGTCCAGTGCAGCAGTGTGGTGCTGCAATCCCATTATTAACACACTTCGTCCGCAGCGGCTGTCGCTGCAATCGCCCAACTTAATCCCGTCGCCCCAACGAAGCCTTGTAAAGTTGTGTTCGTGTTAAGAAAGTATATTCGTTTACTCCAGTCTGTCCGCTACGCACCACAGTACAATAGCATTCATCCGATTTCCCGTCCGAAGCTCGTCGTACCAGCATCGTCGTCATCGTCGTTCCTCGTCGTCCGCGTAACAGTGGGAATTTTGGCGCGAAAATTACTTACCCGGGAACGGGAAAAGTTAGAAAGCTGAAACTCTAGGGCAATGTTCCCTACTCATGTATGACCGAAGGATTTTTAATTCAGCCCCATAAAACCGTTCAGTACTCACGCATGGACACGTGAAAAC